GATCACTGGGATTTGTTTGAAGAAGTTTGGCGCCTTAATTTGATGAAGAACAAACAGGAAATTTGAACGCAAGTCCGATACGCAAGAGAAATACGTCCTGCATGAGATTTAAAAAAAAAAAGGAGAAACATCGTGTTTAACTTAAACAATCATATTTATGTTTGAAAGAAGTCGTTCAGCATGTCACTGAATGAGTCAGAGGGCTAACTGATGGATTTAAGGTGGTATTTTTCTCCCTCTGTTCCCCTTAAAGAACGTACACGCCATCGACTTTCTATAAAAGACTAATTCACAGAATTCCTCTCGGTCGCCGGAGGAGTCGGCGTAACCCGGAGCGACAGAAATAGATTTCCACGCGTTTGGTGTGGGAAAAGTGAATTGGGTCATTTCACCATTCTGCAGCTCAGTATAAAGACCTGATTAGATTAGCTTTGATTAGATTTGCTGTCTGAACGAGGCCTCCTTAGAGAGAGGAGGAGGAGGAGGTGGTGGTGGTGGAGAGGCGGAGGGGCGGTGGGCTTGTTCTGTTAATAACGTGCTAAATTAACCATCCCAGCTCCTCTCTGCCGGGAGCGACATGTTTTATTCATGTCAATAGACTAACAGGTGTGACGTGACAGGTGTTGCTGCTGCTTCTTTTTTTTCTTCCTCTGATCACAACTCCAGAAAAGTTGTTAATTGGGTCTCAGGCTTTTTCTTTTTCTTCTTCTTACCATTAACAAATTCCCTGCTGCTGTGAATTTTCAATTAAAGCAATAATCCCCCTGACTCCACCTTAGCATGTAAAAGTCATAGATTTGAAGTGTTGATGTGGCAGATATTTTTATGTTTTATATACTCACTCTGATGCTTTTTTTTTTAGCAATTTCAAAATCCGATAAAAGTTTAATTATTCAGGTTAGGTAATAAGGGGTGTGAAAATGCATTTCCTGGTTTCTTTAAAATGTTGGTCAGACAAAACAGGACAAGAGAAGAAGCCACATTAATCTGGTTGAGTGACTTTAGAGACATACTCACAGACAGTTACAGTAGTACTATGGGGGATGTTTGATTTGTAGATCAGCATATTCTCCTGACTTTTATTGTGGTTTAATTTGCCGCATCAGTCGGTGCAAAGTGTCACGAGGTTGAGATGGTCGCAGAGCATCATGGATCGTGAACACCACACCCACTGTGGCGGGAAACAACGCTATTAACCACCAAAGTGAAAAGTGGCGTAATCAATCGATTTCTCCCTAAAGTCTAAAATCTTGCCCTTTGTGAATGGAAGTGAAAGTGACTTGAGATCATCCTGGAGTAGCAGGAGTACTACAGAGTAAATCTTATTAGCATGTACAGTGTATTCTCAGCAGAGTTGTGTGCTGCTGCCGGCTGTTCCTGCCGTGGTGAGGCAGTAATTTATTCATTGAACAGGTGAAGGCGGTGAGGAGTGGGCTGCTTTCTCCTCGCCTAATGAAAACTCAAATCCCTCTGACTCCTGTAAATTGGTTGGGAGGTGTCAAGTGTCTCCCAACACGTCCCCACCCCTCCAACCCCATTACACACACACACACACACACACACACACACACACACACACACTGCAGACGGCGGGGACGTGACACCGTGATCCTCAACCTCCTGTCCTTCAAGGACACACATACTGCACACTAACACACACTCAAACTTACACACACACACACACACACACACACACACGTCACACACTCACACTCTCCCTTGGAGCCAGTGGCAGTGACATTTAAAATTGATTACAAAAGGGGAAGATTGATTATGATAATGTCCATCTCGTTTCACTCATTACGGAGTTATGGCTCCTCGCTGGGCTCATAAATCACTGTGTGTCATGTGCCGGTGATGGAGCGGAGCCTCCGTGTGATCAGGAGGCTGGTGGTGGCATCGTGTGTGCTCAGGCTGTCAGCAGGTTTTTGGATTATTTGTCTCCGGTTGAAAGTGTGCCCATGTATGATAAATATGCAAATAGAAAATATATGACAAACAAACTTTAGGATAGCCACTCCCTGAGCCTCACAGTCTTAACCCCTCCCACACACACACACACACACACACACACACACTGCTCCAATCACAGCTCCGGAGGCTGATTTTTCTATCACTTCTGGAGCAGTTCAAAAATGTATCTCCAGATAGTAAAAGTTCATTTAAGAGAAGAGCTGTCATGGTATTTGTTGTTAAAGCATTTACCTTGTAATCCTCAGTGTTTCACCAGCTTCTCGATGATCATTTATTGTGTAATTTTGCTGTTCGAACAAGCAGATTTTGAACTTCCATCCACTGTGATGTTTCTACTTATAAACAAATAAAGCAGGGGGTGGGACTGATAAGATACCTGACCGATCATAGTATTAGATTTTGAATAACTCCACAAATAGACTGATGGAGCTGCGTGTAAAGTGTTGGAAACTTATCCTAAACACTTAGTTATCCATTTGATGAACACGCCTCCTTTGAAATGCTGTTTCTCAGACTACATCATAACCAGCTGATCTGAATTGGCTGGAAATTGTTTTTTTAATTATTTTTTTAACACAGCTCCCTCTGCAGTCCTGAAATGGAACAACAGTGGAACAACTTCCCCATTAGACTGTCAAATCAAATACTAGAGGCTGTTGAAGTTTGATAACTGTCAGTGCAAACCACATTCACCCCTATGACCTTACCTTATCTCATTTTGGTCATGTAACTGCTCTGCTATGATTGGCTCTTGCTTGGTGATGGTGTAACGCGTCCTCACACTCCCTCACAGGGAGTGGATGGTAAAAACTGTGGATTGTGAAAATGCTGCTCAGCTGAAACCATCTGTGTCTCTCTGGATGCTACATGGCGATACGTAGACACCGTCAGGCTCACACAACCGGCCTGAAAAACTTACTGATTTGATTTCATGGTTAATTCACTATCTGTGCCTCAGATTGGTCCAACACCATATTTCAAAATAAAAATGGGCAAAACATACGTGCATCTTTTTCGAGCAGCATCTTTTTTCATCCTGAGATAAAATCTTATTCTGATGATGCAACTTATTTTGGAAAGAAGCATAATGGTGCCAGTAAACAACAGTGCTGGTGCAATCACTGGCAAGATTAATGGCGCCACCACTGACTTTTTTATATCAGTCTATTTCTTAGTTTCTAGTTCAAAAGGTTAAATTTTCCTCTGTTTTATATCACTGTTTTGAAGTGTTGACCAGACCTAATCTTAGAGGTGGTGATGGACATTTTCTTGATTTAACAATTAACTGAACATGAAAACAACCATTAGTTGTCGATGATGTCAGTTCCATTTGCTTTCCTTGAGACCGAGTCCTGCTTTTTCATGCATCTGTCTCAGCGCAGTTATATTCTCGTCCGAGCAAAGCCAAATGTAAAGATGTAAATGCTGCCTAATTTGAATAAACAGTTCCAGACCTGCTCCTTGCACATCAAGCAACTTCCACGTACTTGTAACAACACGGTCTCTTATCTTTCCTGGAAGTTTTTTGTCTTTCCACACTGTGAACTACCCCACCAGCACCACCACCACCACCAGAAATTAGAGTACCATAAAATTAGCTTTAAAGCGTTTTAGCTCTCTACCTTTTTGTTTCATGTTCCTGTCTTTTCTCTCTGTGTCTCTAATCTCTCCCAGCACCACCATGTAACCTCCCCTGTAATCTTCCCTGCAGCCCTCAGTCACTCTGAGTCAGACTTGGGTCATGGGAACTCACAGCTGCTCGTCCGGCCCCATGCAGTTGACAGACAGCGAGCTCCATCTTGGTTTGTTTGCTGATGCCCGTGAAAAAAAAGGAAAAAAACAGCTCTGCACCTGAAACAATCCAGAGTTTGAGTTTGTTGCTGTGGGATGGTGGAGTCTGTCGGCTGGGGAAAGTAGGGCATAGTGTGCAGGCATGCTGCGCTTTTACACACAATATCCACATAATACTGCATCCTAATCTGTATCGCTCACATAACTCCAGGACTAAGAAGTGTATTCAAGAGATGAGGCCAAATCATCCCTGATCAACCTTGAATTGTTTCTTGAGAACTTGCGATTTAGCTTGATATTCAATATATCTCCACAATCTGACAAATGTTCATCTAGTGTAATCTATTTAATGCTCAGTACTGTAGCTAACAGCAAGTACGTAACTGTTCTTAAAAGTTAATTTTACAGTATGTTGCAAGAAACCTTGAACAGTATTGAATCCACGAGTATCCTTTGCCACTTGACCTTAAGAGGCACACAGAGATCCCTGTGGAGAAGGCGGGAAAAATGATTTTTTTCCCCCCATTGGAAATCAATATGTTACCACAGAAAGTGCCCTTGAGCAAGTTTTCCAATTCCTTGTCGGTTCCCGAGGTGCTGACCTCCCTGAGGAGCCAAGGAAACGGCAGGGTGAATATTCGTCCTCTGGAATCAATACGGGGTCACAGGGAAGGTGGCCGAGAGAATGAATCCCTCCCTGAGTCAGAAATGACGGAGAAAAACTGTATTTAATTGTTAGTGTAGTATACGAGATTATCACAATAAAGTAGGTCTGTCTTGTGAAATATGAAAACGTGAGTTGGTGGTTTCCAGGTGAATGTTTTCTTCTCTGACACAACAGCGGCTGCACATGTTAACTAGCCTCAGGTAGAAGGAAGCTAATCAGTGACAGCAGTGTGGGAACAGGACTCATTTTCCCACAGTTATTCAGCTTTTATGCCAAATATGTGCGTGTGTGTGTGTCTGTCTGTCTGTGTGTGTGTGTGTGTGTGTGTGTGTGTGTGTGTGTGTTCATTGTAATCGTGTGCCTGTTTATGAGTGACACCGTCTCATATCTGAGTTTCTATGTAAACTCCACATCGTGCTCGTCTACGTCTCGAAGTGGGCATATCTGAGTTTCAGCAGGACTGTGTGTGTGCACTTCTGTGTGTGTGTGTGTCTGTGTGTGTATGTGCTGTTTTTCTGTATTAGTATGCACTGAGATAACCTCTGCCCTCCTCCTCTCTCTTTTTCAGCGAGCGTACACTGTGATGGTGGAGGCGTGGGACAGGGACAACGGCACACACAGCAATGGTAAGACTCGGCCCTCTGTACTGTTTTTAAACACAAACGTCATAGAAAAATAAAATATTTGAACCATTTCCTTCTTCCTCTGCCCCAGATCACACGGTTTGCCCCCCTCTACTTGCACTGAAACGCTTTGAGTGGCTCCTTCCTAATGTGTGTTTGTCCCACATTTGAGCTTGTCTGGCTTGTTACTGTGGCTTTCAGTCCAGATTGGTTGTTTTGTTCTCAGGAGTCCATTTCAGTCCATATCTGATTATATGTTGGTCTTTTGATTATAATCTGGCCTCAATGTTAATGTGTGTATTTTTGCAGCAACGAGCCGATTTATCATTGTCCGTAATGATGTCATATTGTTAACAGAAGCTAGCTAGCCAGTGCTAAGTTGTTTGGTTTGTATTGGTAGTCTAAAGCCCTAGTAGAGGCTGTGCAGTGAAGGTGTCTGGTAGATTGAACAGTGCTGCAGATTGACCTATTTTTAGAGACTTACATTGGTGCTGCTAAAGGAAAATAAAGGTCATGATGTCATGCAAATCATCCTCAAGGAAACAGCAATTTTAAAGATCTTGAATGTGAAGTTTGACCACCCAAAGTAGAAAGGAGTTATTCTCAGTCCCTCCTCATGAGAACATTTTCTTTGTTTTTGCAAAGTCACTAATGTGGACCACGTGAACAGGAGTCTGAGATCTCATTATGAGTCCAATAAGTTTGGTTCCAACCTGCCCTTTGCCTACTCACTGATTTCTTTGGTGTACAGCTGTATCCTGTTTATACACTGTCTTGATCTCAGCTCTGTTTGCCTTTGTTCTCCACCATCACTGGGAGGAAGAAGGGTTAATTGAAGGATGTAATCTATGTGATCAGACAACGCAGGATTTGCTTCGCTAGGTTTCGGCTCACTTTCCAGACGAGCTGATTCAGGGCCTGGAACGTTTTAGTGGTGTCTGTCTCCCTACCTGCTGACGGCACCTGCTTAGTTGTTTTTCAATGCCAATGAAGAAATGCATGCTTCTAACAATAACACTTCTGTAGTTTCTTTCCTTTTCACATAAATATTTGTTGAGGATCGATGGGGCTCGGACACATCTGATGAGCTGTATCTGATCTTCCTGCACTGTGGAACTCTGTGGCAATGCGCTAATGTCGGAGCTGATGTGTGATGTGCCGCTAAATTTGGGGTTTGATGGTTTTAATTGAATTAAAATTAAAAGGATTCCAGCTGGTTCCTCGCTCTCAGGTATAGAGATTTTAAATTTGGCACTGCTGTTGGTCTCAGTCGACGTATCCGAATCGGTATCGGAGGTGAAAAAGTCGGACGCCTGCATCACTAGAACCCACACCCCTGAAGGTGTCAGTATCATGGAAAGATTGTCCAACAGTGTGCGCCAGTCAGGTTCAACACCTTCAGCTTAAACTTTATTGTCCCCACGGGGAAATCTGTCCCACACAGAAGTGAAACACAGAACATTATCACCATTTCATGCTCTTCGTCAAGTCTTGCACGTCTCTATAACGGCAGGATTTTCACCTCGCCTTCGAGTGAAGCTGTTCAGAGTGACAGTAAACACCTAAGCCTTCAGATATCTTACAAAGTAATTGGTTTAACAGATACTGACACTTTCGCAACCACAGCAGCTTTGTTGAATCAAGACAACCTGAATCTGAAGGGACCAAGATAACAACGATGAGTGATGTTCTCTGCCCTTGTGCCAACATGTTGTTTTCATAATGACTTGAGAAAAGATAAACAGCCACCAAAATAAAATAAGCTACGAGCAGCACCTTGGATTTTCCCATGCAGAGATCTGACTTGTGATTGACAGGTAGCTTATTTGTGCTCCGTCACCATCATCACCCCCTTTTTCTCGCCCTCTTCAGGGTCACTCAGGCTGTTTTCAGTCCTCTATATTAAGCCTGTGAGCACATTGCCTCGTTAAGCCATTAATTGCGGGCCACGGCCCTCTTTTTTGCCCCCCCCCCCTCTGATGTCTCCCTCCTAATTAGCATCCCGGCAGCTGTCTGGCTACCGCACGCCACTTCATTATCCCGAAACACTGTGACAGGCTGGCATCCAGACTGCCGTGCCTCAGCCGGGACCGCAACGCTGGCGGTGGGACACTTTAGTCTTTGCTTGCTCGACCACCTGTAGATCTGGCAGTGTAATGGTTGCAGGGAAGTTTTATTAATCCTCAAGGGGGGGGGGGGGGGGGTCGGGCTGTGAAAGTCAGACAGGCAGAAGGTGCTGAGTAGTCGGCCGCCGTGTCCCGTCTTGTAGACTCGGGTCGGGCATTTTCTCATTGCGTGATCACAGGTTTGATCCATGAATCTGTCAGTGAGTCTGTCAGCAGCCAAGTGTCCTGTCAAAGTGAAACCTTACCTGCTTGCTTAACTATAAGTCAGACTGGACAAGCTAAAAATATAAAGCAAAAATCCTGCGCGTCCTACCGCCATCGGAGGTGGTCACTGTATTTCAGGAGGTACTGGTGTTGTTATTTACTCGGTGTATCTACTTTCTGGCTCAGTTTGGGATTTCCTGCGTTGACAGGAATTACCTTTGATACACGTCAGAGAGCAGGCGAGAACGGGTTGTATCCAGCTGTGGGTTTTACATGCAGGTGAAGCGAGCATTAGGGATCCTGTAGCATAGTTAGAGAGAGAGAGAGTTTTCATCTGTGTTGGACCAGGTTTACACAGGAATAAGAACCCAGGGTTGTCGAAGTCAAGTTTAGTTTTGCCCGAGAGCCCAATCTGAGTCCTCTGATTGTCTGCCAACACAAGTCCTGATTACACTGTACTGTATTTTCTACACAACACAGCTGCACATTTAATCTAAAGGAAGCCTGCAGTTAAATAAAGTGTGTAAAGTCACGTTGGACGGCAGATAGTTCTGCTTTATGGAAACACAGCTAGTATCACATCTTCTTTTAATGGTTTCCTCAGTTATCTTGTTTTGTTTCCCCGAATATTTCACACAGAAACAATGAGTCAGATAATCAATTCAGTCAACTGAAGGACAATTAATAGACAATTTTGAGAGGTAATCGTTAAGGTCATTGATGAGGAAGGCCCAACACCCCAACATTGAGTGGTTCCAGCTTCAAAAATGGCTGCAGCATGCAATTATTGATTGGTTATTGATTGATCTGCTGGTGATTTTGTCCATATGGTCGTAAAAATGGTGAAAAAGGCTAATTCCACTTTCTTGAAGCCCAAACGGGCGTCGTGCTTTGTTTAACCAACACTCACACAAAACCCATGTATTAAAACCACAAAACTACAAAAATTCTCATTTGACAAACTGGAACCTGAACGTTGTGTCACATTCACTTAAAAATTATAAAAGTGATTCATCACTTATCAAAAGTGTTGCAGAATAATTCACAAATAGTTTATATCACTGTAACTTGATTATCTCTGGATTTTGAACTGTTGGTCAAACAACACAATCTGAAGATGTCAAGACTTGAAGAGACGATGCACAGCTGTGAGAGTGGTGTTGAGCTTCTCCTCGGGACTCTCTGCAAGAAATGCCATAAGCATATTTCTCAAAACCGTGCAATGACTGACTCCAGCACCAAACAACAAAATAATATTAGAATACAAGGTGGTCCAAGCTGTGGGTTCTTCCTCAGAGCAGCTAAGGGGGCTTGAAGTGAGTTTCCTGCCCTGCGTTACAGTATGTGCTGCAGGAGCCTTGTGTGAACAGATCTAGGCAGCAGGTTGGAGAGGCCTCAGGAAAAAGAAAGGCTTTGTGCAGGTTGTTTATACCTCAGGAAACCCCCGCCTGCTAAAAAACACAACAGAAATGGCAAGAGAACAGAGCACGGAGCTGTTACTGACTGCTGGAGTGTTGGCTGGTTCAGAGCTTCACTGGTGGGTTGAGAAACACTGATACTGGCCCAAAAGAGAATTTACCTGTTAGACAGCAGGAGCTGAAGGACAAGGCTGTTGATATCTTACTAATCTCATAAAAAAAGACATTACCAACAATGAATGTATCCTGCTCACAAGTGTTGTCTGAGTATTAAAGCCCGATGTGTGTTATTATTCTGAGCCATCGCTCCTTCATTACCATGAACACACACTCACACAGTTTATTTTTGACTCAGTACCCTCAGTAGCACCATCCTGCTGCCCCAAATACTCACCAGAGCCCCAAATGTGGATTAATCTGCCGCTGAAAATAGTTCCAAACAAATGCACTGTTTCCTCCTGTTTGAGTAGCGTTTGCTGAAAACTACAGCCCACGCCTGTGGCACCTCCTGATTTACGTCCTGTAACGACAGCCCAACAATATAAATCCATACAGTAGGGGAAAAGTAAAGCGATATAACGATCAAAGTTGATGTCAGTTATGAAAAAGTTTTGGCAAACACAGGGCGGCATTTGAAAGTTGATTGATTGCAGTTTCTTGTGCCATGTCATTTCCATGAGGTCATAGTCAGTTTCTTGATGCAACACTTGGAGGAAGAAAACAAAGGAACAGCTTGAAAACCAGTTTATTACTTAATCACTTGTTATACTGACACTGATGCTCTGGCACTGTATCTCATTCCAGGTGTGCTTTTACAGACTTCCCTCCATCCATCCATTTAAGTATACACAAGGTAAAACCTCAGGGGTCACGAAATGATTGAGTGGATTAGAAATATCCCGCAAATGAATCAACTTGTGAAGGTTCAACCGCTCAGAGCTCATGATAACACTGAAGCCACCACCTCTAATGAGGGATCACAAAAACAGTGTTGACCCCCTCCTCCTCCCTGAGATCTGGCTAACGTGCTAGCAGCTTAGCAGGTCAAAGTCTTTGTCTGAATCTTCTAAGTTGTATATATATACTATGCGTGCATGTCTCATCCGGACTTAAAGGGAGAAGCACATGGATGTTGATGAAAAAAAATTCTGCAATTCAGTTGCATCTGTAGCGTTTTTTTTTTTGTTTTAGTTATTTATTTTTGGTCTGAACCGAAACGTGTCTGAGTTTAGATGAAATATTTTACAACTTTAACTTCTTTTGTTAAATGAAAAAAACAAAGATTTCTAGAAAAACATATTTATATATTCATGTACTGACACTGGCATTGGAAAATGGATATATCCAGCCCCAGTTGCAGCATTAATTATGGTTACACTCACACATTTTGATTTGAGCTAGATGTCACATTTTGTTTGTCATATCCATGTGAAAAAAAAACTCCCATCAGATGGCAGATGAAGAGAGAAAAAATATGAACAGATACATTTAAACTACCAGTGTGAGCGCAGCCTTGACTTCAGTTCAAAGATCACCGCTGTTACAAGTGACAAGCTGTAAAGAGGTCAAAGGTCAAAGTGCCACAGTCCCCTAACAAAAAAACACTCCAGTTACATGCAGCTCGTTGGCTGAAAACTGCAAAACTGTCTGGGTGGACAAACCGGTCGCTCTTTGTTTTGAAAGTGGAGGCTTCTCTCTGAAAGCACAGACAATCATGTTGCTCTTGACACGATCAGCTGCTCAGATCTGAAGGCCCTCGTTGTTTATATAAGCCGCTTTTATACAGCCCTCTCCCTCCTGCTCTCCCTAGTAACAACGGCCTCTCTTAGCATGTCTCCTCCAGTACGGAGAGAGCTCATGATTGGTCTATATTTTTATATCTAATTGCTGGAGATGAACAGCAGTGAGTGAGTGCCTGGGTGTTTCAGGTGGTGGGTGTGGGACTGAAATCTGTGGCAGTGTGTTAACTCGCAGTGAGACTCAGAAAATCAGGACAGCATGAAAATGGATTCTTATTCTTTTTCTACAGTGTCAAACTTCAGCAGTTATGACAATGCTTTTAAGATACACAAAGGAATGTGTGTTAAATTTCACAGTTGATGCACCGGAGACACACCTGCAGCAAATCTAATCCAGGTAATAGCCTGGTGGTTTAGAAACAGTTCATCTCTTTGTTAAGATTCACTGAAACTATTAACTTTTGAAAGAAGAAATCAGACTTTCCCCTTGTTCCAAAAAAAGAAAAAGTTTAATTCATAAGCAAGAAAATGCAATTCATTACACTGCATTAAAAACTGGGCCATGAAGAGCTGACATGGTTTCAGCGGACATCACTGATATACGAGGAAAATATCCTCTTAGTCATGAAAGAAAATATCAACAGTAGTATTTATGGTCAAACCTGGTTGTTTTTGGTGGATTGAAACCATTAACTCTTGCTGTGCTGGTACATGAAGAGTGAAGATGAGTCCTTCCCTCCAGCTCTGTCTCTTCCAGGTCATCCTCGGTTCTGGAAGCAGCAGCAAAGCCTGCTGGGTCACGGTGCTTCTATTCCTTGAGAACAAGCTAAAGGGCCTTTCCTATGTCGCCCTTCCTTGTCTGTTCCCCGTCTCTTATTATTTCCGGCCTGGCTCCGATGAAGTCGGGCTGGATATCCTGAGAGGGGGAGTGGGGTGGGGTGGGGTGGGGGTGTGTGGGGGGCCCAGAAAAGCATTTCACCAAGCAGGAAAACTGAAAAAGCATTTCGGTTATCAAGCCCTCGCAGACCTCGCTCCTACACCCTCTGTTTGTGCTTGCTTAATTTTCCTATTCTTTCCTGCTTTTTCCTCTACTTTTTTTTTTTCTTCTTCCACATTCTTGGTGGAACAGAGGGATGTTGACCAGAGGTTACACCTTCCCTCTGATCTGTGCTAAAGCCAGGCATTCTTCGACGCCTCGTGGACTTCCTAATCGAGCTGAACACCGGGTTGTTGGGTCAAATCCCGTAATCGGAATCAGCCCTGCTCCCTGGAATGTCATTGAGAATTTTTGTTGTTTTGACTTTTTCTATCTAACTGACCCAAATTCTTGACCTGTTGAGTGTTGGGTTTTTTTTTTTTTCTGTTTGGCTGAAAAAGTAGTTGACTAGTCATTTGACCCCAACAGTGATTGTTTATATATGTACGGAATCTCTGCATTCACTTATGCTGCAAACCTTAGCCTATCTGCTTACTAGTTTACTGCCTGGAGTAGCAACACTAATGTTAGCATAATATCCAAGGCTGAGGACATAGCATTAGCTTACCTTATCATGAGCTGACTGTATGGTATTCCTCCTCTGGTTTAGACTTATGTTAGCATTAGCATTAACGTAAGCAGCTCCAGCAACCTCAGCCAAACACATTACGTTTTTAAACAAGTCGGCTGAAAACAGTCAGAGACAGACTTTTCAGCCAACTCACAGAGCTAGCATTAGCTCATTTAGCTAGCTAGCTACATAAAATTTGCCAGTGACAGTTGTAATTTCAGCCGGCAAAATTGAGGATTGGCAGTTAGAAATGAGAAACTACTTTTGTATGCTTCTGATTGAAATGGAGGACCTATTTTTTCATACATCATTATCAAGAAAATCACTCTGCATGTCTGACATGTTGTCAGGTGAAGTGAAAGGTTTCCTTGGGCTCTGGGATTATAATAATCCACTGTTTAATCATTGAACGTAATCTTTGATTGCATCTGTTGTTTGCCTTTAGACTAACAATGTGAGGAATATCTGACAGTATTACCCACACCAGTGTTGTAGTGCATTGTCTTATTTCTATTGTCTAACATGTTTGCATTGATTTTTTTTTTTTTTTTTAATCTTTTGTCCAGGTGAGGAGCTGCTGATTGAGCGCAGCATCCATAAAGGGATGATCAGTCCGGGAGAGGAGAAGCACATGGTGGAGTACAAAACCTTGACCGCCAGACTCGAGTACCACATCCGTGTGCGCTGCGACGAACACTACTATGGAAGCAAATGCAACAAAGTTTGCCGTCCCCGCGACGACTACTTTGGCCACTATGTGTGTGATCAGCTTGGAAACAGAGGCTGCATGGAGGGCTGGACTGGGGCCGACTGCAAAACAGGTGAGGGAAGATGTCAGTCGTGCTGTAAACACATGCAGTAACACACAGGCCAACATGAAAGAGGATTAATAAGTAACTAACTAAAGTTAACTAACTATTTAGTAATATGTTATGTTTTATTTTGTGACTCATCCTATTACCTTTTAAATATCTTTACTATCTTTTTGTGTATTTTTTGTTAAATTTCTCTTTCCATATGAATTGTTTTACTGTACTACTGTCCACAAAAACACAAAAACACAAAAAAGAAACATTCCACACTTAAAATTCCTGTGATCACATGGACACAGATTTCTTAGTCTGCTCTTCGTTATCACCCTTTCCAGAAAAAAAATTGGAAGTTCACTGAAGTTCATGTGTCAAAGTGTCAATTAGCAAGAATTCAAAGAATGTTTGGAAACTCTCGTGGCTGCTGGAGACACCTTCAGCTTTCTGACAATGACTTTGACAGCAAACAAGGAAACATAGGAAATGAGATTTTAATGATTGAAACCAGAGTGCAAGACAAAAATCCAGACACAATTCTTCATCACACTTTTAAATATGCTCCTGAACGGATGATTCTGTTTCAGATTTTTGGACAGGAACTAATAAAAACATTTCACTTTCTGTCTCTTTTCTTTCCCCTAAGCCATCTGCAAACAAGGATGCAGCGTCCTGCATGGGTCGTGCAGCTGGCCAGGGGAATGCAAGTAAGTCGCCTCCACTTTTGTTTTTGTTTTGTTTGTTCCACTTTGTTCACCTTTACAGTGCAGCTGCCAAGTGATGTAAAATATGATCTTGTTTGGATGGAAAACTTCTGGAAGAGCTTAATGAGGATACCAGTGGTGACACAACAGAGTGACGAGAGCGAGAGGGGGGAGTTGTTGATAACATACCAAGCACCACTCTACCTCCCCCATCATAGTTTTGTGAAGTGCCCCCCCTATACCTCCACCTCCATCCCTCAGCTCCACTCTGATCCACAAGCCATTGTTCTGCTTCCTGTCCTAAAGCTGGCCTGCTCCTGCCCGCACAGAGAGAGAGAGAGAGAGAGAGAGGGAGAGAGAGGCTTGTTTTTTGCTATGTTTCCTCCCTCGTCCTCCACCAGCAGCAAAGAGGCAATGTGGCCCCCAGTCCACCCCCTGCTACTGTCTGCAGCCCACATCATCTCTTCCTATCCTGGGCCTTGTTATGGCTGGTACTCGCCCGTTGGGAAGTGTGGATTCCCCCCACCCCTGGGTGGGGTGAACCCACCTAGACGAAAAAGTCACGACCTAACAGTGAATACATCAACTGAAAATGAAAGATGTTCAACACAATAAGGAAAGCAAGTTTATTTATGTTGTTCACAAGGCAGCTCAAAGTGCTTTACATTATCCATTAAAGCATGAAAGCTTATGTTAAGGACACTTTCACTTTCCCTCACTCACCCACCCTATAGAAGTGTAATATGGCCGCACAGTGGACTACCAGCAGGCGAGTGTTGTAGCAGCTCTGTGACGGGGAGAGGAGGCAGCAGAGAGACATTTAGATTTGATTACATGTGGAGCTGAACTGTGCATTTAGACACAGTGGATCACGAGTGCTTTAAAAAGCCAAACTGAGCAGAGATGGAGGTGGAAGAGGAGAGGGAGATGAGGGTTTTATACTGAAACAGGTTTGATTTAATTAAGATGTAGTTTAGAAAAAAAACTAAATTAAACTGACATTTCTTATTGGAAATGGCTCGAGGATAGGAAGGGACAGAAACACCCTGGAATGTGCCTCAACATGTGATTTTGAGCTATCAGTAACACACACACACACACACACACACACACACACACACACACACACACACTGCTGAGAAACTGGAAGACTAATGCAGATTTGCACTGACAGAATAAAAGCTTTCTTCTGGTTGATTTGCAGGGGATAGCCCGCAGTAATCAAAACTCAAATTCTTAAAAAAAAATCGAATTAAAATCATCAGTTTAAATGATTCGACTAAACTTTTAAAGATAGCAAACGGAAAGTCTTAAATTAATTGAATATTGGGTGAATCACTTCTCAAGCAACATCATTGATTATTGGATATATAACTATAAATTTCACTCCAAACCTTGGAAATCATATAAACCCAAGGTCCATTTACTGGTTCTTTTGGGGCTTTCAACTTCATAGAGGTCATCAGTAGATGGAGTTCGTTAGTTCTCATGGAGATGGCCGAACTGTAAAGTATCAAACTTCAGCCATGTGACAACAGGTAGGGCGGCAGTGTTGTAACACCTGGGTTAGTCTGTGGTGTCAGAAATACAGAAACAAAACAGAAGTTGTAATATCCCTGAGTTTTCCTTTAGGTAAACAATACCACTAAAGAAATAAGGGTACATTTGAAGCCAGAAATAGAAAGGGTGTAAAAAATGAACTGGGAGAAACAGAGAACGAGAGAGAGAGAGAGAGTGAAGGGTTAAAGACAGAGAAAAGCACGGAGCGACAGAAAGCGAGAGAAACAGGAAAAAAGGCGTCTCAGCCTGGCAGAAGAAAACTAAAAATGTGTGTTTGGTATCTTGTTTCTTACACACAGCGCATTCACAACCTACGCTCCCTCATGTGACACTACTAAACATGTAGCTAGGCAACAGTGGGCTAAGTCTGTCCGCTGGATTTGGGCGCGAGGCTCGCCTGTAAATAATTCAGTGGTACCACACACACGCACACACACACACACACACACACTAACAGCCCCCTCTACCTCTACCCCTGCCCACCGTCCCGTCTTCTGGGTGTGGTTTGTCTGAGGGGCCGCAGCGGGGCGGGGGTTGTGGGCAAGGCGGGATATTTTCAGCTCAGGCTGGCCCCCGCGGCCCCCTCCATTGATGGAACGGCAGCAGCCCGGCGACGGGGTTTGTGGGTAATGCCACCCTTGGCCTGTGGCTGCCCGAAACCATTTCCCTGCTCTCCCACACTGCAGCCAGACAGACTGTCCACGCTGCCACCGCTGCTGCACGGCTGACAGTACGCAGGGCACCACCACTGACCGCAGCGCCGGACAACACCACATACTGTAGTAAACAATACACAGCACTGTCTCATACACACACACAGACACACACACACACACATAACTGGGCTTGACTTACCAAGCAAGATGAGATTAAAGTTGTTGCAGTCGTGCATCCAGTTAAAGACGTCTCGGCTTACAAAGGGTACATGAAACATCATCACGTCTTGATGTGCATGTTTTAACATAACCTGAACTTTGTCTTGGCTGCATTTTTATTTTGTGAATCCTTGACAGTCACTGTGTGATTGATTAGAGCTCCACCCATGTAGGAATTCCAGGCACAATAGGTGTTTGAAAGGTGCCAAATCTGGACCAGATTAGAGACTCTCTTTTTATATGAGGCACAAATGAATTCCTCTGCCTTTCATTAGGTATAAAATTTCACCTATTCTACAAACACTGTTTCTGCAAAGAGAATACATTTGTAATGCACTGCATGCCATTCAGCTCCTCTGTATTGGGCAGGAGATAGAGTACGTGGTAAATAAAAAAATATTAGCATCATCGCTGTCAGCCTGTTAGAATGCAGATGTTAGCATTTAGCTCAGCCTCACAAAGGCTATAGCATGGAGGTAGACCCCAACATTTATATGTTTTGTAATGTCATATGTTCCTTTGAGAAACAGAAACATGTTTTCTATAAAAGCTCTCCCATGCTAAATGTTTCTGAGACTCCAGCACCTATAAAAAAAAAACTTTGAAAAAAAGTCTAAAATTTGATTTAAAACAGGAACTGATCAGATCAATAAATAAACCAGATTAGAAGTCTGATCACATACTTTACCCCTCCTTTTTTTTATTTTATTTGACAGTTTCCACTCCTCTGTGCCACAGACACATTGGCTGCCTCCAAAAAAGGAGTGTGGTTCAGTGCCCAGCCCCACCAGCGTGGTGCCTCCAGTCTGTCACTGTCCACAGCCACTCAGTGTATTACAGCACATTACAGTTCACTACAGAGCCGTATATCACTGCTGGTCAGAGACGTGTTTGGTCGGCATCCATTTTGAAGTGTTTGTGAGCCGGAGTTGGGGGGAGGGTAGCGGTGTTGGTGGTGGCGGTGGTGGTGGTGGTGGTGGTGTTGGTGGTGCTGGAGGAGGGGGAGTGGGTTTGCTCCCTAAAATAGCCCCGACGGAGAAATGACAGGACAGGTGGGGCAAGGTTACCGCTGGCCTTGGAATAACAGAGTGCTGCCATAAACCAACAGATTAGCTAACCCTTCGCTGGCCTCCCCTTCGAGACGACTAACTCTCGTTCCACAAACCCGCCACTCATTCCAAGTTTGACCTCGACCGAGCTCACGACACAGGAAGAGGGCAGAGAAGAAGACACATGACACGGGAGGAAATACGACTGAAAGAAACAACAAAAAACTGCTTCTTTTCAAGTCAGTTTTGTCTGAGTCCTGAAAGTCTGTGCCTCCAAAATTAGTAGATTACCATAGTCCTCATTGTTAAGTGTAAACGTCTCAACTGTAAGAATTTAACATTTGTTATTGATCAGGGAACGTGCGATGGACGTTTACCATCATTTTTTACATGAAATAATGAATTAAAATGATAGAGATGAATCAATAATGACAATAATCATTGGCTGCAGCCACGTTTCATATGAAAGGTTAGAAAATATTCAACATCAGTTACAGATCAATTATTTTCGAATGTGTCCATGTGCTGTAAGCAATATGATAGGACACACGCTCACAAACACACGCATACCAACCACACTGTGCAGCAGTGTGTGCTGGAGCTGTGTGTCCTAAGATTAGTGTCATCATTCACCTTGATTAAGACATTCTGTCTTTACAAATTACTGTTGTGACATTTAGCTGAAACTCAGTCGATGCTCTCCTGTGTTTTCTCCTCTCTCCTGTGCATTCTTCACGTTCGCCAGCCAACATTTAACTGGCACACTGCCCAACATCGGGCGCTCCTCGTGTGTTTTCATACATCGTGAAAGTATTAAATCACTCGTTTGTTATCACTAACTATCACTGTTTTTCATGGCCCACCCCCCCCTGTGTTATTAAGTGCATCTGTGTGCACGATATTCCTTCAGGCGGGGGCTGTAAATAAGAACACGTTCTCAGTGAGCTTGTGAAATAAGAGGCATTTATTTCACCAAAACATCCACTCAGCCACTGTTGCACCCGCTGAACTCTGTTCTCTGTGCGCCGTTATTTGATTATCACTCACATAAGCACCGACAATAAAAAAAAAATATATATATAAAAGGTTCTGGATTCAACATTTTAAAGACGGCAGACATCTGTCTCCAGTTTTACAATGATCACCGTTTCACATCAGTTAAAAAAAGGAACAAAGGAAGAAATAAGGAAGAGAGGAAGGAAGGAAGGAAGGAAGGAAGGGAAAAAGAGAACAAAGGAAAAATTAATAAAGAGGCAATGAAGTGGGAAGCAAACCAGAAATAAAGAGGGAAATTAACTAACTGTTAAACTGTAAAAACTAATCCCCCTCCCCTCTGTGTGTTGCAGGTGTAACTACGGCTGGCAGGGTCCGTTCTGTGACGAGTGTCTGCCGTACCCCGGCTGTGTTCACGGCACCTGTAACGAGCCCTGGCAGTGCACCTGTGAGAAGAACTGGGGCGGTCTGCTCTGTGACAAAGGTCAGACCCAGTCACGTGCTATTTTACACTATTTTACGTGAAAAATGGTTGTTAAAAAGTCACCTGATGTGTGCATCAGGTGGCTGAAATGAACTTTCTTTGAGTCTATAAGATAAGTCATGATTGATTCCTAGAGCCTAGAGCCGAAGTACATTCAAACATCTGTATGATTTTCACAACAGTCAACAGCTTCCATGAAATGTTTGTGATTTCCAACAAATGGGCTGAAACATGGAAAATCCCTGGTATGGTCCTTTATAGCTTGATTCTCCTTGCACCACATGAGTCACATGAGGACACAGTGCGATTGGTCAAGATGCAGGGACCTAAGGTAGAAATTACATTTGCCGTAAATATATATTCTAACATTGTGTTCTATGTAACCCGCAATCAGATGTTTTTGGAAGAAAAAAAAAAAAAACACAATGAAATCAAGCCTGTAACGAGTCGTTTTCTATGGCTGTTGTGTTTTAGACGTCAAAACGGCACAGAGCTGCAGGATCATGAGAGACGAAAGCTTCTAGCTGATATTTACAAACAGTGTAGGTTGAATCAGTTTCTGTTGCTGTGCAGATCTGAACTACTGTGGGACCAACCGGCCCTGTAAGAATGGAGGGACGTGCATGAACACAGAGCCAGACGAGTACAACTGCGCCTGTCCAGACGGCTACTCTGGCAAGAACTGTGAGATCGGTGAGTCTGGGAACCAGGTGTAAAATCCAGGTTTTCGTGCCACGGCATGTTTATCAGCATGTTTATCAGCATGAAGATTTTTGAAAATTGTTTTTCTCTTAAATCTTTCTCTCTAGCGGAGCACGCCTGTGTGTCTAACCCCTGTGCCAACGGAGGGACGTGCCATGAAGTCCCATCAGGCTTTGAGTGTCACTGTCCAGTGGGCTGGTCTGGGCCGACCTGTGCTAAAGGTGAGAGGCTCGAAACTACTCCGAAGTCCAGTTCAGTCTTCCACGGATGATATGACATTTTTCTCTCTGTTTATGTTTGGCAAGTGTGAATTTGTCACTGCAGGACACATTAAATCTGCACATATAGTAAACTACAGACAGAAAGATTTATTTACTTACTCTTGATGTGACTGTGATGATTTAACATCAGTCCTGTTTATATTTCAGACACGGATGAATGTGCCTCCAGCCCCTGTGCTCAGGGCGGGACCTGCATCGACATGGAGAACGGATTCAAATGCCTCTGTCCTCCACAGTGGACGGGCAAGACCTGCCAGATAGGTGAGTCTCTAAGTCTAATTAAGCACTGAACTGTTAATTAATGCAATGTAAAGGAAGAGTCATTTGAGAAGTCTCGTTTTTTTCCAATTTAAATGTAGAGCATTTTGGAGGGACGTTTGGAAATGTATATAATATTCTGATTCATGTAACTGTTGCATGTTGGGTGATATTTTGCTGTGATGAAGCCGGTGTGTTTCCCTGTGTGATGCACCTACAGTGAATGCCCTGCGTCCAGATTCATTCCAGGAATCCATCTGCTTGCAGAGTTGCAGCATATCTGGCTGTTTGTTTATCCTGCCGTGTCGCTTAACCAGTAGTATTACTGCAGGAGGGTCACTAATTCTAAATTAGTGTGTGTGTGTGTGTGTGTGTGTGTGTGTGTTTGTGTATACGCATGCCCAACAGAGATACTCGCTGGGTATCATCTGCAACTCGAGCCAGGTGACTTGAGTAAAGCTAAAAATAACCTCCCGCCTGGCAACTGCTAGCCTTGGGACCAAATATACTCCGCCGGGGGGTTATCTTTGGCTCCAGACTGGGCGTGACAGGGGGAGTATGTACACTACGGTGAGGCGGCACCGCAGCATAGCGGAGCCCTCACCCTCTTTGACTTCAGCCAGGAAACACTTTATAACCTGTAAACATGTGTGTGGAGCATCTGAAATGCAGTGGCTTGTGTTACGGATTCTGTTCTTCTCAGAGTGCTCCCCCTTTCAGGAAGCCGGGTTTTACCTGGAACAGAGCGAGACGAGGAGGTGGGGTGGGTGGGAGGTTGGGTTTTTGGAAAAGGGTTCAGGGTGTTTAATTTCAGCAGGCCAACAGGTGCCGCTTACCTCCTGGGAGTAGTATTAATGCACTGTGTCGGTTTATAGTGAGCAAGGCAGCACGGCGGGCGCGGCGAGCGCTGCCTCTGAAACTGACCACTTGGAATGCCGCAGGTTGGCCTTCAGGGAATGCCATAGAGAGACATTATCCCTGAGGAGGGGGGTGGGTGAAGATAGAGCACGGGCTGGGTGGGTGGAAAGTTGTGGAAGAAATGAAACCCTTTCCGGCATGAACTTCACCCTGTAAATGTTCTGGCAATTTTACATGTTTGAAAAAGACCCCGAGTCGTTTACTCATAAAAGTCATGAAAACCGTAACTGAATCCAGTCACATTAACAGAGGCTACAGCACACACAAGGTTAAATATGCATATTAGAGACATTAATGACCACACTTTAATACATTTCTCATTTAGTTAAAATAAATGCAATAACCATTGAAATACTGTGAATGAACCAATTTTAATATGCAGAAATGTTGTTCTGACCTCAAGAAAGAATATTTTAAAATGCATCTTTGTAAAGGATTGTTTTACCTAATGAAGAAGAAGAAGAAAAGGGAAAATATTGGGATTAAATGAAAACCAGAGACTCACATCTCGTCAGTTGTAACTATGATAAACAAACTAAAACCAACAGCTGAAATCTACCTCTCTTATCTACTTCTGAAATTGTTCAATGACAAGTGAGAAACATGCAAATACCCCCTCAGTACTGATGTGGTGGTCGTAAATCAAAGCACAAAAAAAACAAAATAAGTTTTGAATTCCACTGCTGATGCAGCCATTAAAATATCATATGAGCATTGCAGCTCTCAGCTTAACAGTCATTATGGAACATTTCTGTAACAGAGAACAGTTTGTTTTAAAGCCCAAAGGCCACTTTTGTAACAGGTGTATGAAGCCAGCAACACGACAGATTCAGTGTCTGAAAGGGGCTTTAGTCATCAACAGTCGCTCCCTGGAGTCAGAGACAGAGCTCAGGGAAAGCCGACAAATCTTTGGCCGTAATTTCATCGTGTTGTACGACATTGAAGCTGCTCTTGGTGACGGGGCTTCTGAGCAGGTTTTCAACGCTCTCACTCATTCTCTCTCTGTGTCTCTCGTGTCCATTTTTGCAGACATGTTTGAGTGTACGGGGATCAAGCCTTGCCACAATGCTTACTCTTGCAAAAACTTGATTGGTGGATATCACTGTGCCTGCTTTCCTGGATGGGTGGGCAAGAACTGTGACATCAGTTAGTATCAATTCAGCAGATCATTAGTCTTCAGCCTCTTTTCACCCACTGTAGCAGTATTAGAGCCAAAGCCCTGCCCTCCTTGCTGGCTAGCTTCTGTCCCGCTAGCCTCTGTAGCTCAGGTTTCTAATGTTAGCTACAACATATTCATGGTGTTTTCGTTCCATATTCTAAGATATGCTATTAAACTCAACAGTCACATCTAAATAATTAATCACTTTAACAAAAAAAAGCTTAAAAATTTGGTTAAATTTTGCTAGTACAGTAGTAAATAGTTGTTTATCTTATCGCTCCCATAGCATGCTAATTCTGTTGTTGTTGAATTAGTAAAACAATCCTAGCTTTTTCTTGTTCAAATATAACTTCTCGCTACAGTTGCAAGCACTAGCTTGAAATATGGACAGAAAACCACAGACACATTTGCTACTACAGCCGCATGAGGCTGCTAGCATGCTAATGGTTGAGACTGGAGGAATTTATGTTGTTTTATTTTGGTTAATATGGCAAATTGTTCAGTAGCAGATTCTCATTTATGTCATAAAACACAAGGAAAAATTACAGAAAGAGCAATTAAAGAAACCATCTATTGGAAAACACATGATGTTACTGGTGCTAATGGGAGAAAAGCTAGCTAAACAACCGGGCTGAGCTTCGGATCTGCATTCACTCTCCTCTTCCGTACCTCTCCTATGGCTGTTTACGCCTGCCACACCCTGGCTAACTCTTCTAGGCTGTAAGACTAAAACCTTTTTAACTTCTGTTTAAAATGTGAGGGGTCGTTTTGTCCTCTGCATTCTGGTTTCATTGCATGTTCTCACAGCTCGTCTGCTCCTCTGAATGAGCTTCTAGCATTTCTTCCAGGCATGGGTCACTCCGCTTTGGTTTTTATCAGCCTCTTTCCTGTAGTAGCCGCATGTTTACAGCACCAGTGCATTTTACAGCTTCCCAGTTTCACAAACTAAATATGTGACGCTTTCACTGTGATTGATTTCTCCTCAGACATGAACAGCTGCCACGGACAGTGTCAAAACGGAGCCACTTGCAAGGTGAGAAGCTGAAAGGGTCTTTTTTTCTTTTTAGCTTTCAAAAACAGAGGTCTTTATTTTATTTATATAATTATTTAATCCAACATGACACAGCAGTGAAGTAATGGAACAAGATTATTGCTGATCATCAAAGTGCCTGTCAGAACATAAAAGAAGATGCTCAAGGGTATTTTGGTTTTAAAACACTGGTTACCAACTTGTACTGGAAAAAAAGTGTTTTTTCTTCTTTTCTAATATTAGTGAATAATTATAAAATAAAATACAGGAGAAATACCAGCCTGGTTTCCTTATACAGCTTCTTTTATCTGTGTGTAAAAATGCAAAAGAAGCTGTCAGCAATATTTGACACAAATACTGACACAACAACCTGAATCAGTGTTGAAAACTAAAACAACATCCAGTCATTCATTGATTTTTGACCCAAATGTCCGAAATAATAATAAAAATATTATTTCAATGAGCCATGTTATTACATTGGAAAAACTGCACGTGTGTTGATAGACATTGGATGTTTATTGATTGAACATGAACCCTTGTAGATGAGGCAGTGTTTCTACTTTTTGCAGGAATTTGTGAAATCCTATAATTTCATACAGTTAGACCTTGCAGTTGCAATTGTTATAGCTCCCGTTAAGTTTTGAATATGGCAGCAACTTACAAATATTTGACGATTGATAAACTGTTTATTATATAATTTATATTTATATTTTTTGTTTTGTGAAACCAACTGTACAAAAAAGAGTTTCCACTATAAACTGATAGAAACTGAAACATAATGTTTAATCTCTACTCCAGAAACTCAACATCATCCATTAAGTTATTTTAATAGTTATCAGATAGACATTTCTGGATGGTGCTTCCTCAAAGACTCAGAACACTTTGTCACACTCACTCACTTTGACAATTAAAGGAATAAATCGGGAGCTCTGACACGTTGATGACTGTTGTTGCTGACTTCTTGTCTTGTCTTGTGCCAGGAGGTGGCCAGAGGCTATCACTGTGTTTGCCAGCCGGGATTCGTGGGCCGTCACTGTGAGGTTCAGAGGAACCGCTGCTCCAGCAGCCCATGTAGGAACGGGGGCCGCTGCCACGCCCTGCTGGACGGCTTCATGTGTGAATGCCCCCAAGGCTTCGCTGGTACAACTTGTGAGGTGAGGATTAAATCCAGCTAGTAAAGTACATGATAAAAAAAAAGAAGAAAAAAAGACAGTGTGATGCTTCTATCGCAGCTATTTTTCACTTGTGGTGAAAACATTTCTTAACTTTCTGTTTTCCCTCTGAAGGTGCAAAACGACCCTTGCAGCCCAAACCCGTGTCACAACAAGGCCCAGTGCCACAGCCTGATGGGAGACTTCTACTGCAGCTGCCCAGATGACTACGAGGGCAAAACCTGTTCAGAGCTCAAGGACCACTGCAAGACTAACCAGTGTCAAGGTACCACAGCACCTGGAGAACCCTTTGTACAGATACTTTTAACTTGACCCGTTGGACGATGGAGTCACTACAACGTATTACCCTGCTGATAATCTCTTTTCCACCTTTTATTTATTTTTATTTTTTTACCCCAAAGTGATTGATAGTTGCACAGTTGCCGTGGCAACCAACGACACCCAAAAGAGGGTATGGCACATCTCATCCAATGTGTGCGGACCCCACGGCCGCTGCATCAGCCAGCCTGCGGGGAACTTCAGCTGCTCTTGTGAGCCGGGATTCACTGGCACCTACTGCCATGAGAGTGAGTCATTATTAGCCCGACACACACACACACACACACACACACATACAGACTATATTTATCATCAGTTACCATCACTGGGAACCACATGATTCTTACGGTAATTCACACTCCTGTTTCACTAATCATCACTGTCTTAGATTAGTTTATAGCAGACAGGGGAAAAAACACAAGAAGGAAATCCAGAGGAGAACATGAGCAGGGAATTACTGCCACAGACATTATTGTGTCTGCCAAGAAAAATTGTTCACATCAGAATACTTTTCAGTTTTTGTTTTTGAATGCTTTTCAGATTTTTGTACTCAAACAAACATGCTCTTTTTTTTCCAAGGAAATACATTTATGACTCAGCATATGTAAATATCTATCTCCACTTTGTCTGCAGACATTAATGACTGCGCATCATCCCCCTGTAAGAACGGAGGCACTTGCATCGATGGGATCAACTCCTTCCAGTGTTTCTGCCCAGACGGCTGGGAGGGCAATCTGTGTGATGTTGGTGAGTGTGTGTGTGTGTGTGTGGGTGTGTGTGTGTGTGTGTGGGTGTGGATGTGGGTGTGTGGTTGTGTTGAAGGGAAGAGGGGTTTTCATGGTTCAGTGTGAGCAACAGCACAGGTACACAGTTCTCATGAGTCACGTAACCTGACATAATCCATCCTCGGGCCAAAAGGAGCACCATGGGAATGATCAGCAGTCTGAGAATCTAGTGGATGACAAAACAATGGAGGGTTTGTTTGTGTGTTTGTGAGATGAAGGCAAGTGGAAAAATGTCGTAACTTCACCAGCTGACAGATTCTATCTGTGTTGGGAGCTTATGTCATTGGCGAGTGTGCACATTTGCAGATGACACTGTGACTTATATTATTGTACATATAGTAGTAGCATACCGAGATTAATATTTCTAGGGAGAGCTGCTCCAAAAGCAAAAATAATAAACGACAATAATCAACCATTTTGAGACCAAATTAAATATTTAATCAAAATCTCTGATTACACTGATTTACATGATCCTTCATTCATGACTGCAGCGTGAACATCAGCACAAAGGAGGTATGATTCTTTGGCTCTGTTTAGGTTTATAAGAGTGTGAGTTATTCTCCTGCTTCCAGACCATCCAGGTGATAAAATCAACATAGAATCAATATCTAAACGAACCTGTTACCGTGCTGACTCGTCGTTTGACTTTGTTCCAGATGTGAATGAGTGCAACAGAAACCCCTGTCAGAACGGAGGCCAGTGTGTCGACCTGCTCAACGACTTCTACTGCAACTGTGTGGACAACTGGAAAGGAAAGACCTGCCACTCACGTAAGTCGATATGAGTGTGTGAAAGACTGTGACTAAGTTTATGTGTAAAAAAAAAAAAAAAAAAGTGATAGAAAATGGAGGAAATATACACGTGTGCATGATAAATGCTTAAATCTACACTTTTGAGAATTAAAGCACTCAATCTAAGGAAGAAGGATCTAAAAATCTAAGGAAGTGGATCAAAAATCATTAATTATTAGAGAAAGGAAATGATTTTAAGCTGGAATCTTACCAAAAACTATGTTGATTGTTATCAATGAGCTAAAAAGTCAGAGCAAAGAAAAGCTCAAGCAGAGCCCAAGACACTGATGAGTGGCGTCTTTGTCTTCACTTTCCCTCTTCTCCAACATGTCAGGTCTTATGTTTTTTAACTGCCTCAGCCTCCTAATCTTCTATCTGAGGCATGGTGCCCTCACTGGCTGCTGTGCAGGCTTGTTCTCCCGTCTTACGGCGTCTCTGAACTCTGCTTTGTAGCTGAAGTAATCGCTACTTAACACTGGCGCTGAGTCAAGTGTTTGAAATCTCTTCTTCTTCTTTTTTTTTTCCCATGCTGCCTCGGTCCAGGTGAGAGCCAGTGCGACTCCACTACCTGCAGTAATGGAGGGACGTGTTACGACCACGGAGACTCCTTCCTGTGCAGCTGCCCCTCAGGCTGGGGTGGCAGCACCTGCAACACAGGTCAGGCACACACTGCACTCTAATTACACTGTTATGACTCTGGTAATAACAGTGTAATAATATGATGTGATATTACCCTGTAACGACCTGTCAGACTCAGGTACGCCAGACCAGAGAGCAGATCTCCCACGATGTTCAGCGATTATTTTTTCTTCTTGTAGCCAAGAACAGCACATGTGACTCGGGTCCGTGCGAGAACGGAGGGACGTGTGTCGGCGGAGGAGACACCTTCACCTGCATCTGCAAGGACGGCTGGGAAGGATCCACCTGTGCACAGAGTAGGTCACTGAGCCATGTTCAGCACAGTTGTATGATGGTAGAGTTGGTTGTGCAAGCGTCACTAAATACTATTGAGAGTTTAGTACTTTATCCATTTAATCTGATATAATCACCTCGGCCGACTTTATATCTTTGTTATTTTGTGCCGATTATGACTTGGATGTTGACGTGAGTGTTATTCACAGGCTGGAAACTAATAAGAACAGTAACTTCGATATGACATGAATGCAGCATTAGAAAAATTCACTTATTTGACAGTAATAAAGGTAAATGCAAAACTATAATAATACTAAGTAATAAAAGCTTAAAAAGGAGAAATGAGAGACTAAGACGACCAACTGTCCTGAAGAACTGCTGCAGTGTATGAATAAATGCTTTTTTGCTTGTGGAACAGCAGGAATAATTATATTCCTTTATAATTAAGTACATTTATTATATGACTCTCACATATGAGGAAAAGGATCTGATACTGATTGTCTGCCTTTTCTCTCTTGCAGATGTCGATGACTGCAACCCACATCCATGGTAAGACAGGTTTCTTTTCATTAACCCACTGAAAACTTTCTGCCACTTGTTGGTCACTATTGTTTGTGCGTTATGTTCATGTCTGTGTAGAAAGTGGCTTCAAACGTCTCTCGACACAGAAGGGCAGTTAATATCTCTTCATTTCTTACTTTCAAAATGGCTTCACTTTTTGTCAGCTTAGTTTTTTTATTTTTATGAAGCTTTAATTGGCATATTTTGGTGCTACAAACAGTAGAGTTTCACCTATAAAAATCTGCTTATATTGTCAAACTTTTTATTAATCACTTGACTTCATTTGATCTTGGGAACTGATTCCACTCCGGTGGTCTGGACCGGAGCCATAAATCCTACAAACTGTTTATTGCTGCTGGGTGTGGCAGCTTTGATCCTCACCTTCACTCTCAATAATTCAGAAACATCAGCTTTAGTTGACATTTGCATCTTTCCTGAGACACTCTGGATTCACTCCAGCCTGAGACGAAGTGTTTTAACTTGAAACAGAGCGGTGGAGCAGCTACAGGGTTTCCCACTGACTCTCACACTTCAGCAAATCTGATTTTATACTCTGGATTTTCTCATTAAAGACTGTGGATGTTGAGGTGTGAGTGCAGATGTATGTACTTGAATTGATATATGTTTTGATTACCTATATGTTTATTGTTTGATAGTCTGAAACTGTGGCTGTATTTTTTATTTTTTTATCTGAATGTGTTTGTGGACAAAATGCAAAACATTCCCAGAGTTTTGCTTCTCAAATGTGAGAATTTGCTCCTTTATTCTGATTTATATCATTTTAAATTTAAAAATCTTTTAGTTTTGAGCTGTTAGTCGGGCAAAACGAGACATTTAAAGACTTTTTGATCATTGACAAAATTACCCCAAAACACACAAGTGGGAAAGAAAATCAGGGCGGTGTATCCACTGACAGCCTCTCTGGATCAGAGAGGCTACCCTGGACAAAAGCATCCCCCCTTCCTCCCCCTCTTCTGTCCTCCTCACCCTCCTCTACAATGACTGACAGGTGGATTAGTGGTGGTTTTGGTTTTGGTTTTTCAGAGGAGGTGGAAGGAGGGGGTGAGTGTGAAGAGACGCCCCCTCTCGCCATTCACCGGCCTCGACCTGGGGGTAGCTGTGAAGAGTGGAGGTGTTGGGTGGGTGGGGGGCTCAGTATGTGGTCAGGAGGGATTTACATATGAAGTCTGGACATTAGCTCCAGCCTGCTGCCACTCAGAGTCTCGGAGAGAACATGGGACAAACACTCACCTCAGTGGGTTAAAAACAGACCCATAATGCCTTGCAGACACTTGTATAGTAGATGTAGATGTACTAAATGTGTAGTGTTTGTGTATATATTAAAAAATATGATTATAAATTTTGTTAGAACTAAACCAGGACAGCACCAGTGGTATATAAACCAGTGGTAATATTTTAGTTTGTGGTTTCTTTACTTTCCTAATGATTTCCTACAGAGCTCATTTCTTCAGAAGCTTTCTGTGCAGGATTACGTCATGTTGCAGTTATTATAGTGAAATTTAGAAATAGTACATCTCCTTCTATAACTGAGTTTCTGTGAAAATGTAATGCAAGATAGTAGTTGCACAGAAAAAGGAAGTTGTGTTGGAGACAGTTGTGAAACTTCCTGGAGAATTACAATACGAGACGCCTTTTAACAAAATATTAGAAAATGAGGGAACATAAACCGTCGAGTTGACATCATGCAGCTCCGTGTGCAGGAGGGGACACAGTCACATGTGTCTTTGTTCCAGGACTAAATTGGAGATATCAGTACACAGTTACCGTGTAAAAACGATGATCTTTTCTCTTTTACAAAATTATTTATTTGTGAGAATAAAATCAGGCCTGTATGGTGTCACATATTTAATCCATATGTCCCAGTATGCTTTGATGGACAAATACTGGCATCTCCTCCATTGTAATTTCTGTCAATGCATTTAAAGTTGGGCTCTCCCGTCTTTTCACCAGCAACCAGCAGTATATTCATTAAGTATTTATGTCTTTTCCACCAAATAAATCCAAAATAGACATTTTTATATTTTCACAGGAGACGTCAAATAATGTCAAGGAATTTGCCAAATGTGTCACTTTCCAGATGCAGCTCACCTGAAGTCATTGATTTACAGTTTTAGAAAAGCCCGACTGCAGCGAGAAGCAAACAGACAGAAAGAAAAAAGATTTTTGTTTTTCAGTTTCATCCATGTGTTTCTCTCTGTGTTTTCTCTGCAGCTACAACGGCGGCATCTGTGTCGACGGCGTGAACTGGTTTCGCTGCGAATGCGCCCCAGGATTCGCCGGACCGGACTGCCGCATCAGTGAGTCCCTGGGAACCGGAGGGGAGGCGTGTGGAGGGGTCAGGTGGGCGGGGGGTCAGAGGTGAAAGGGCGCAGCGGGGGAGCGTGAGCCAATTGTTTCAGGGCGACAGATTAGGAAGCCCCTTTTAGGAAGCCGGTCTTAACCTCTCCCCTCTGCGCTGAGCCGAGGTCAGAGCTGAGGCTCGTCAGACGGGTCAGTGCGCTCTCCCGTGGCCTTCTGGGAGAAATCTCTTCAGAAAAGCCCTTTCAGAACCGGAGTGTTATCCATTTGAAGTGTCTCAAATCAAACCGGTAGAAGCCCATTGTGCACGAAGTGATTCTCTGGATTCCATTGCTTACTGAGAACATTTAAATCTAACATTCAAATCACTGAGAGCTCAGGTTTTTCTCAGCTAACGTGAAGCTGTAGAGGGAGAAAGACCCGAAGGAGAAATCAACAGTGCGAGGAAGACGCAAAGAGATTCCTCTGCTCCTGAAAAGATACCAAGGCTTTTCTAGACGCCTCTTTTTTAATAACTCAAGATTTAAGATCTGAAGCACAAGAATTTATCTGGAAATTCTACTGACAGAAATTTCCTGACGATCAGAAAGAGATCATAGTTTTTACCCTTGGGCCTCATGTCCTTTCAAAATAAGATCCCATAAGTTAATAACTCTCTAAATACTGCATGTATTCTGTGGTTTTGTTTTTCAGACATAGATGAGTGTCAGTCGTCTCCTTGTGCTGAAGGTTCAACCTGCATGGACGAAATCAACGGCTACCGCTGCGTTTGTCCTCCAGGCCACGCGGGACCGCGCTGTCAAGAGTGTGAGTAATGGAAAATGTTTTTTTTTCTAAGGCTCTTCTAAAATGACTTTGCTCTAAGACACCACTATCAATCAGCTGTATGATGTTGGTGGATCTGCAGCTGTGTGCTGGTTGAGTAAATATGGAGGCTTCATAACATCTCCTGTTCTCTCCAGTCATCGGACTGGGGAAGTCGTGTCGTCACGCTGACCTGCAGTTTCCTCACGGCAGCCGGTGGGAGGAGGAGTGTAACACCTGCCAGTGTGTCAACGGATACGTTCACTGCTCTAAGGTCAGCCTTTAATTCGCCCAATAACATAGAAGATGTTATGAAAACAAAGTGACGGCAGTAAGTGATCGAATCCATGCTCTTCCAGGTGAGGTGCGGTCGTCGGCCGTGTCTCCTGCCAAAGGCTCTTCCTCCTGCGGACGCCAACCCTCCGTCCTGCCCCGGAGGTCACGAGTGTGTGGAGCATCAGTTCCTCACCTGCTTCTCGCCACCCTGCCACCAGTGGGGCGTGTGCTCAAACCCGGACCCACCCACACCTCTGCACACCCGGTGTGAGCCAAACAGTGGTTACCTGGACAACAACTGCGCTCGCATCACACTCATCTTCAAAAAGGACAAAGTGCCACAGGTGAGGGACTGTTTTCTCGTAGATAAAAGTTTAATGTTCAACACTTTTCTGTGGTTTATATCAAATACTTGGATATTTTTGGGTTTTAGACACAATTTTTTTTGACATTTTACACAAAAAATTGAGCAAATAGCTTCAATCATCAAAAACTGAAATGTTCTGATTAAGTTCCTCAATTTCCCAGAGTGAAAATCTGTGGTTTTACACAGCAGTCACAGTGTTTGACAGTTTATAATTCTTCCTTCTCCTTGGGCAATAAAACGAAAATGCAGGAAATTTAAAAGAGGAAAAAATGGCTAAAATGGCTCCAGCAATAAAAAATGATGGGTGGCACACTCTGCTTCAAATAGTAATACAGCATTCAAGACATGAATTTTGTGGTTTCAGTCTTCTATATCAAAGCAAGACTTTTAATTCAGAGGGTGTAGCGCTGTTGTAAATCAAGGGACAGACGTTTCTCCAGCCCTGATATCCCTGCTGTGAGTTTGTGTGTTTGAGTCCGTGCGAGTTCTCAGTGGGAGAAAAGTTTGAAATAAGGCTGCGGAGACAGTTTGAAAACCACCAACCGGCCTCTTTTACCCAGTCATCAAGTTATTTTTCATCCCTGTTGATGTGTCGTGTCATAACAAAACATTTGAAATCATTTTATTCCCACCCTGCATTGTTAACGTTCGATAATTGTTTGAATTATCGAATGTTAACAATCCGGAGTGGGAGGAAAATGATCTCAGATGTCTTGTTGCTCGAATCTTCCACCGCAAACGCTCACATTATGCTCTGCTGTGCACTCAGGAGAGTACGTTTTGGCTGTTTTGTTCTGACAGTCTGACAGTGTGACAGTGTGTGATATATCATCATATTGCCCAACCCGACCATGTAACTTCTTCAGACAGTGACATTTGTAGGTTTATCTTGTCTCTCCCACATGAGTCATCTCGGAAAGAAAAGCGGTAAAGTTTTAGAGTGTGTTCTTATCTTATCTGAAAATAAAAAAACTCCAGGAAAAGCTTTTTCGTTGTATTATGTTGCTTTCTACAGAATCATGAAACCTTACCTGGCATCTTGGAGCAGGTCTGAGTAAAGTTTAAGTACTAGAAATTCATCTGTTCCTGATACTGATCTGAAATCTGTGCCCCCGCTGATTCTGATTGGCTGGCTAGGAGGAATTACAAAGTGATTGTTCCTCGCCAGCAGTGCAGATACTAATCTGTTGTATCTGTGTGTGTGTGTGTGTGTGTGTGTGTGTGTGTGTGTGTGTGTGTGTGTGTGTGTGTGTGTGTGTGTGTGTGTGTGTGTTGCAGGGCACCACTGTAGAGAACATCTGCTCGGAGCTGAGGTACCTCCCTGTGACTCAGACGCTGGCCGAGGAGCGAGCGCTGCTCATCCTCTGTGACCTGTCCTACTCCAACGGTGATGCCGTGGAGGTCGCCATGGTGATTATGACACACAAACACACACCTGCCCACACACGCATTGATAACTACTGCAAATATAGGACTTTGTTTTGGGTTGTCCCGCATTTGAGGATGTACCTGGGTATTGCAACCATTCCTACAGTGGTTCATCCATCTCACTTTGATTTTTTCATCAAGTTCTTGCAAATACAACACCCACAAAGTCCCAACGTTTCGGGCCCACCCTGGCTGCCATTCTAACCAGTGAGCCCATGTCTACTGGGAATGAACTCAAAACAATATCTGAAATGTGTGTGCTGAACACCGGGCAGCTCGAAGACACACCTCTTCTGAAATGCCTCCAGTGAACAAATGAACCACAATGGAAACTAGCAGCTAATGCTATTTCCAGTGGGTTTTGGATGTAGCTTTAGCTGCTAGCGCTAGCTTAGCTCTCCTCTGGTTGCCTGCCTCTCGTGGAAGATCTACAGGAAATATTTGGTCTGATTTTCATAGTCTTGTCTTGCTGAGATTTGGGAATGATACAGCGTCACTATGACAACAGCCAATCAGAAAGGCTTTAACAGTTGAGCCAGATATCCAAATGAAAGTTAACAGACCTGAAATTTCCATTGATAATACATGAGTGAGTTTAATGTATAAATATTCTCTAAACACCAGGAGAGAACGTGCAGGTGAACAGACAGGCGAAGCAACACACACACGATCACACAGCAGCAGATTCAGGAGCTGCTGCCTTCTCTCTCTCTCTCTCTCTCACCCTCTCTCTCTTACCCTCTCACCCTCTCTCCACTTTCCCTCTTTTCTTCTCCCACTTTATTAAGTCGCACTTAATTCATCACTGCAAATCATTTCCAGAGGAGTGCAGTAAAATCTGAACCTTTTTCTATTTTTTGTTTCTTCTTTTAAAAAAAGAAACAAGAAAAAAGAAAAGGAAGAGAAAGAAAGAGGAGGGAGAGAGACGTTTGAAGCTTTCAACATCTGGATGAGATTTAGCTTTTCTGTTGGAACACCTTGCTGATCTCTGTCTCTTCTTCTCCTTCTTTCTCTATTTCTTCCTCTTCTTCCTTTACTTCTTTTCACCTCCAGTTTAGTCTTCTCTCTCTTCTCTCTCTCAACGTGTCTCTTTTACCTTTCCTGCTTTTCTGTTTTCTCATTCTCCCTCACCCTTTTCTTTGTCTTTCCGACCCCTCTCCCTCGTCTCTCCTATTTTTTGTCTCCCTCTCACTCTCGGCCACCCAGACTCGGGGGAAATCAGTCACTTCGGGGCTTTAAGCTCTTAATGGAGAGGATTAGCTCTTGTTCCTCTGATGTTTGCAGCCTTGTTTTGAGCAGCAGATACAGGAAGAGGAGTGGCGAGCCTGACATCCACCCAAAACCCCACAACAAGGCTCTCATAAGAAACCTCACTCCCACTTGCTGTCGACTCGTGTTGCAGAGAAATGTCAGTGCTCATTTCCAAGTGTGGGTGAAATCTTCATCATCTCAGCGAGCTGCGCGGAGTGCAGCCGGTTCTCAGCCCCCGAGTCGTGTCGATTCATTCTCGTCCAAGAGCTCTGGGTGTGTTTGTAAACCCCTGAACCGATCAGCAGGCCGCTCCGCTGCGAGGCATCCAACCTGAGCAAGAAACAAGTGGTTCAATATGTTTGAGCATGTGGGAAAGAGCGAGGAGCGCTCGGTTTGTAGAGCGAGTCGTCCCTTCTTTAACTCGACATGTTGAGGCTGCGTCAAGTGCGTTGGAAGGAAAATGAGATGCTCGAGTAGTTTCAGCAAAATATGTGGAAGTGACATTCAGACGTAACGTTCATGAAGCGAGGACAGTTTTTCACCTGCCAGGTTCCTCACAGTGTCCTGTAAACGGGACGGAGCTTTATAAACTCCTAATTTAATATGCAAGTCAACAAATGTAAAGGTGATATTCTGTGTTTCCTTACTGTCAGCAAATTCCCTTAAAACACACAACATCATACTAACAAGTGTTATGTATCCACAAACCTTGTTGTCCAGAAACTATTGAAGACGCGTCAGTGTTACTTCAATCCCGTGGACACACACTGTAGTTTATTTTACTCTATTGTACTCACTCCCACATACACCCTACTGCTGCAAGAAACACTCACTACAGCACCAAATCTGGATTAATCCGCTGATGAAAATAGTCCCTAACATGGTGCATCCTGTTCACTCTCCTCACTCCCCCTTGTTTCCAAGGGCAACAAATGATGGAAAAGTAAACATGTTGAAGAGAGTGGCCGAGTATTTGCTGCCAACTTTAATGCGATGATGATTTGAGACTCTCAGTGTCACAGGCAGACAGGCAGTGCTCAGTACAGTGCTGATGATGTGCTCTCAGCCCCGTGTGGCTGTGATGTGACCTGTCAGTCAGCCTGGGAGGCGGGGTTAGAGGTGTGTGTGTGAATGAGCTGCTGATTTCCTCAGGAGAAGAAAAGAGGAGTGTTTGTTCCCGGCCGAGCGGAGAGCACAGCTGGGCTCTCCTCTATTGTTTGTCCTAATTGAACTGCACAGCACACAGCTAATCCCCCTCTGTCCCCCAACCACCTCCCAGCTCTCACCCTCAGCACCTTATTAGGCAATTAACTCCACCCTCTGTGGTCTCAGCAGGAGGGGTGGGGGCAGCCTGCCAGATGTTAGGATGAGAATCTCTTTTATTCGGACGGATGAATGTGTGTTATTTCTTTTTTGTTGTCTTGCGTAGCCTCGAGCGAGACTCGGACCATTTGGCAAATGGGACTGAGTGAATGTGTGTTTCGTGATTCTTCACGTTTCAGCCGTTACCTACAAATCAGCCTCTCTGTACGTTATTGTAGGAGGTTAGTCAAAGTTCTCCACAAGGGTTTTAGGAGTCTTTGTGTTCCCTGTAATGAAAATTAACTTTCAGTTGCTTAAAACTTCCATTGAACACCATTGTGAGGGTCCCATCAAAACAACAGGAGGATCACAGCAGCACATTTCTTTAATGTCATAACAGGTATCACAAACTAATGGCAGCAAATCAACAGTCTCTATGGAAACAGTAGAATTTTACTGCTGTAAAATCTCTTTCACTTTTCCAAATGCCATACATTTTTCCTTAACTAAAGAATCCTTAAAAGGTCTGTGCAACACCGTTAAGTAACTCGCTCAGCTAAGGAGAAATTAAACCTTAAGTGTCATATTGTTGTCTTGAACACAATATAAAGGAGAGTTTATACAATGATCCCTTCTCCCAGCTACATTAAACACAACGTGACAACGCACCAACCAAAAACTGAAGGCAGTGAGACGTTCTGTCGCATGTCTGACTGAACTCAACCAAGTTACAAGCTTCAAGCATAAATTACATGAACTGTAAAAACATTCATGTTGAATATGATTACGTACGTTAATATAAATGTTTGGATGACTTCATAAAGTAATGGGCTAAAAACAGCACAGCAACACATTGGCTAGTCGCCGCTGTACAAACAACGTGTGAAATTCTGTGTAAATACAAAGCCATTGAATTCCTGTCCCTCTCTCTCTCTCTCTCTCTCTCTCTCTCTCTCTCTCTCTCTCTCCGCCTCTGCAGTCCTTTGAGCAGGACGGGCGATCGAAGGACAATGATCGTGGACAGATCCAGAAAGCAGCCAGCGCCATCATCAGCGCTCTGTCTAAACGCCACAACAGCACCGTCATGCTCGCCGTGGTGGAGGTCAAAGTGGAGACGATGATCAAATCTCCTCCTGCTGGTGAGTTAGAAGTTTAAAGGAAACTCAGTTCCTCTCAGTCCATGAGCTCATTCACTGTTTTGTTTCAAGGATTTTCTTTCACATTGTTCCGAAATTCACATTTTTATTGTTTTGTTGAGGCTTAGATGACAAGATCACTGGTTTGCATTCAGCGCAAAGGCAGCTGTGACATGTTTAGCTTAGCTTAGCACAAAGGATGAAAGCAGGGGGGAAACTGCTAGCCAGGAAATGATCTCCTAACATCTCCTCTGACTTTGTCCTTCAGGCTACCTGGTCCCCGTGCTGTGCGTCGTCTTCAGCGTCCTGTGGATCTTCTGCATCGTTGTTTGCGTCTGGTGGACCCGCAAGAGGAAGAAAGAGCGTGAGAGAGCCGCCCGATCCGAGGACAGGACCGTCAACAACAAGCTGGAGCCACTGCGGAGCAACGCCCTCAAGGACAACCGCGACAAAGACATTCAGTACGAATGCAAGAAACTGATGGGCCCCTCCGACAGGACGTGCGACGGGGCCGAGGGCGAAGAGGAAGGAGAGCAGGAGGGGGAGCAGGAGGAGGACGAGGAGAGGGCGCTGGGCATAGGGGACAAGTGTCCGCCTCAAAAGTGCTCCATAGCAGGGGCGCAGGACAGGGGGATGATGGGAAAGGGAGGGGTCATCTGCACGTCGCGCAGCGGCCCAGTGAAGGCACCACACCGGACAGCGTACAGCCCCAAGGACAACCGGTGTAAAAACCTGAACGCCGCCAAGCTCAGCGAGGACATTAAAGACCATTACGTGTGAACAGGCCAGAGGAGGAGGGACCTTCCTGAATCAAAGAAAAACAAACTGCAATGTCTTCAATGTCACTGACTTTTCAATTCTTAAAAGCACCAAAAGTGAAGATTACAGATGCTTTAATTTTTTATTTTTGTTTGTTACACCTTATTTAACTTGGTCGTCTGCAGCATGGAGGCTTGTTTCACCAAAAACCGACAAAAAAAACACAGAAAACAACCCAAAAAAAAGATGGAAAATAAACATCACAGCTTCTGGATTTCTGGATTTTCAGTTTAATCATCACACTGTTGGAATCAAGAAGAGTTTGTTTTGTTTTTTTTCACTGTTCCTGATTTTTTTTTTCTCTGTTTATAAACTGTTTCTGTTTGCTTCATGAGGACTAACGCTCTCTTTCTTTTGAACCTTGGAGATTTAACTGAACGGCACTGGCTGTGCGGCTGTGTATGTCGTTTCTGCTGTTTGGTGCAGTAGGTTCCTGTCTGCCTTAGCCCAGACCTGCGGGCCTTTTCTACTCTGTCTTGATATCATGTCTTTTTATAAAGAAAAAAAACAACACAAAAAAAAGTTTTCTATACATTTAAGTTCTTTGGAAGCTGGCGCAGAGAATTGACTGTATGATACCTGGCATGAAAAGTTTTTGTTTACATTCATAAAACATCTTTTCCATTCTGTGTTAAGGCTTAAAGGTTCTTATATACCCTTTCAAAATAATGGTCACCGTTTCCTGCGAGTCTACATGATGATTTTTCAGTATTTGCTATGGTAGAAAAGTGCCTTCAGCCCCTTATTTTTCTTCTCTCTCCTCTTATAGACTTTATGCAGATTTTAAATCCATATAAAGGGAAAGATGTCCTAGTAACAACTCTTCATACCACAGTAAAGGTTATTTTCTTTGTGATGTACATATGTAAATATGAACAAATGGCTGTGTATATTTGAGTTTAGTAACTTAAGTGATGCTTTGTATCATAGTTATTCTAAATAAGATTGTTTTGTGGTTGTTTTTTTTTTTTTTTTTTAATGATGTCATTCCGTTCATTAGTGTCTGTTGACACTATGACAGGTTTTATACAGATTTTCGGACTGTGTCCAGAGTCTCCCTGAGTCATGAGCATTGGTTTAAAAAAGAAAACAGATCATGATTGTTTGTCTTGATGTGTTGTGATTATTTGTTACAGCTGTTAAGAAGACAAATACAGAGTCTGGAGAGCTGTTTGTCAGGTCTGTCCATCATTGTGAAAAGGCTGTTAGGACATGAGCAGCAGTGAGTCACATCTCGAACAGCTCAGTAGTCAATGCTACAACTATAGGAACCTCCTTTAAAACAGTCCTGGTCATTTCATTGGAGTGAAATTGTGTTGAGGTGCCACCCCACCTGCAACATTAACCTTTCTGTAACAAAGCCCAAACTACACCTACATACAAATTCCAAGTCCACAAAGATCAAAACCAATTTAATTCTTATTCATGTTAATTCTGAGTTCCAGTTTCCCAGAATGCAAAATATGTTTCAAGAGCCACAAATTCAAATCATGCGAGCCAACCCTCCAAATGCATCTAAACGTCAATTTTTTAAATGATGTTTCAGCTCAGCTCGCTGACAGTTCTTTGGGAAATACTGGTGATCTTTTCCACTTTTTCCGTACTTCATGTTTTTGTTTTACCCAATCCCACAGGCTGTGTGTGTGTAAATATGAAAATCACCCTGTTGGCATCCGGTTCAAAAGCAGCAGAGCATCAGTACACAGGGCTGGTCTCATTGGACGACCTGGCCGCAGGGCCTCCTGCTGAGATGTTTTTGGTTTCCTTTTGTGCAAGACATTTGAAAATGGAAAAGGAAACAAGTCAAGTCTTCATCCCAAAAGTCTCGAGAAGTGAGCCAGTAGTTGTCTATTTTAGCACATGCCTGATTTCTCCTCATCAATCCACAGTGCACATTTTTCCCCTTTTTGAATTCGTGCCACTGGTTCCAGATCCATTTTTCTGTCTTCAGTTTTTGCTTAATAATTTCTCAGAAAATGACTTCAGCTGTGTCCGACAGCTCCCTCATCCACTCCCATGTTACAAACACTCTTGTTACATTGTACAGAGTCGTATATTGATGTTTCTTAACACTATCAACAATTTTACATTCCCTCTGGCAGATATTGTGGCACATAATGGTGAATCAGATGTTTGCAATGTTTGACACATTGTGGAATATTAAGGAGAAAACTGGTACACTGCACATGCTTTTCATTTCGGGAATTTAACATGTGGCCCAAGTGTATTTTACAATCAGAATACACTCAAAGACACACAAATGGCAGGATATAAATATACATTTGATGTCATTACACAGCATCCCTTTATTCCTTCTCATCTTTGTACAATTTCAGTTTAGTTAGGAAGTCCAGTGGGTTAAACAATCAAGATTTTTGCTCCTAATTGGGGACTCCAAAGGGCACAGAGGAAATTAACCTTGTGCTGTGGTGGAGCAGCAGGTCTTGAACCAGCACTGATGCATCTGATTGCTATTTCCAGTACACACTTACGGGTCACAGGGTCCAAACAACTTAAAAGCACTGCTGCCAGTCTCTCTTCAGCCCCTGCATACTTAGGTTATAATTTCATCGTTTTCCAGTCTGTTGGAATCAGAGCTGCCACACACGGCAGCAGGGTCTTTAGTGAGCATGAAAACCCTCCTTGTGCTGCAGGAGACACCTTCATAACGGCAATCAACCACCCTTGCTGAAGTGCCCTTTAGCACGACACAGAATCCCCATCATAGACAAAGGGTGTGTGGTTTGAATGGGAACCTACGCACAGTGAATGAGTTTGTATCCTAATTTTTTAACCCTGTTTTAGCCCCGCCTCTCCTCGTGTATCTATTCTGGTCTAATGAAGGGAACAAGTTGTGTTGTTGTTGATGTTGCTGACTGTTGTGCTTGTTGTCCAGTGTTTGTAAAGAGTCTGTTTCTGCACTAAGAACACACAGGAAGAGAGAAACATTTAGCATTACCTCCACAGCGGTAGTGAAAAAAAAAAAAAAAGTCAAATATTGTCACTATCTGTGGATGAACATTATGTTTTCAATATTTTATGTTTTTGTTAATAATGCTGATGCAAATCATGGAAAATCCAAATTCATATTCTGTCAGTAAATTTTACATTGTGTTAGCCCCAGAGAAGGGGCTGAATGTGCAGAACATTGTAATTATTTTGTACAAAATTTGGTAAAAGTCTTGGTTTGTTAGTGGAATTTTTTTTGTTTGTTCTTAGAACAATCCTATTATTTATTAAAGTATTTTATACCAAAGTTTATTTTGTTTTGTCTTTTTTTGATGTTTGATGTTAAGATATTTGAGATAAAGGTTTCTTTTTGGCTGTTGCTATTGTTCTCATCACTGACTCTTCACTAAGCCACGCCCCCTTTAATTGTCAAACTTCCTATTCTAGAACTTTTTGAACAATGGATCCTTGACAGAAGTTGACAAAAGCAGCTTCTCACATGGCGACCATCAGTTGTACCAGCTTAAAGGACGACTGTCAGTGGCAGACTTTTTTACTTGTAGCCAACTAACTAATTATTGATTCCATGAGTTGGTTGAAAAGAGCTGAGTCTTTAATGTGTACAGCTGGCTTGTATGAAAATCAGAACCCCGGAAAAAAGTCTTGAATATTAATTTCATGAAGTTCCAGAAGTAGCTTGATCAGAGAAAGGTTAGTTACTAAAATCCCTCTTTGAAGCTTTGTTAGTTCCAGATGGAAGATGTCCAGCCTTATTTGTTCCAGTTATATCGAATCTTTCAAAATTATTTTTACATAAGGGATTGCATTGAGTTTTATTTTTTTACATTTTAGAAATTTGGTAATATACAATAAATTGTAGAGGCTACATATGTTTCTTAAAATTTCCACTTTTTGTTTTTAACTTGAAATTCCGTCTTAATGATCAGTGGTCTCTAAGCAGCCAATCAGCTGTCTCTCTGCCTCCCGCCTCATTTAGCGCCAGGCCAATGAAGTGAGGCCTTCGCGTGCCTCCATCTGCCGCTTTAATGACAGTGTGGGAAATGATTAACATTAGCCCGCTCTGCTTGAAAGCCTTCCGGCAGCTGTGTTAGATATCCATAATGCTTGGTGGGACGTTATGTGCCGCGCTGTGTGGTTCATTAACCCGACAGTTGTTTTGGGAAGAATGGGAAACGTGTCTGGAATCCTGGATGGCGCGGCGCTCGGGTCACATGCATGTACAGGGCACGCTTGCTGACCTACTTGGAGAGAAGTACAATGAAGGAGAAGGGGAGATGGTGGTGTATAGTAAGAGGAGGAAGGGCCAGTGGCGGCATCCCACAATACAGCATGTAAGCTAATGCCAGATCCCTACAGGAGCTGACTATAGTGAAGGCTGCTCATCCACAGCACACAGGTTTCTCTCTCCATGCTGCGTCTTAGACATCGCATGTGAAGTAGCTGCAAATAATTTCAGCATTGGAGCTTAAAAGTTCAATCTTGACCGTTGAGGTAGCAGTTAATAAAACAATGTCAGCAGATACATTTAGTGGCTCTTCAGGGGTTTTTGATTGGATCACATGAACTTCATCAGCAGATGGGTCCAGTTGTCAAGGAATTGTAGGTTGTCCATTGTCCATGCTTTAAGAGTGCTTTAAGGATTTCTTCTATGTTGGGGAATCTGGATGAACTCCATCTGCAGATGAAGATCATGTGATATGATGCAAGTCCAGAACAGCTACTAAATGCGCTATTTTCCCAATTTGACCTTTGTGTTAGAATACCAGACAAATTGTTTATTGTTTTTAGGAAATTCAGATCCTTGAGTATATTTTAAACCACAGATACAATAGGTCTCACAGTAACTCAAGGTCTATTTACTGATTTCTTTCAGAACTTTCATGCACTTGAACCTTCTCCTGGTTAGAGTAAAGCAGCAGCAGTGTGAAGGCGACACTGTGCAAGCGGAGCTAAAACTCTCAAAACACTGAAAATAACTTATGTAACATGGTGAAATCCTAAGATAATTTTTTTGATTCCTTATATACCTGGAGTAACATGTGCTCATTATATGTGATTAATTAGAACATCATCAAAACATTACATAATTACGTTTGATAACTTAGTAAGTAGGTCCTGTGTTTTATCCCCAAGCAAAACACTGCTAGTTACAAATGGTCTTCTGGAGGTTTTAGCTGGCATGTTGTAGGTTTCTATGAAGAGCCCATCTGAATAAACCACTAAGATGGTGTTCATGACTTAGCAGGAAATTTGCTTTTTATTAATTTGTTGTTGACTATTTCTTAAATATGATGACGCTATGCAAATAATTAACATTTACGGCAGGGGAACATGGCAATATCTTCTGTTCTGTTGTCTGTCATCTACCAACCAAGAAAAGCTGCCAAAATTACGACCTCATGAGATACACTTGAAGGCAGCATTTAGCTCAGGTTTAGGATGTGAGACAGTCATTGGCCCAATCCCAGTCCACCGTCACAGACTCGTTCCCGGCGCGTTCCCGGTAAATTCGTGAGAGCTTAGTTTCTGTCCCACTGTCAAAACATCGAAGGCATGGGGGCTCTCTACTAGCAGACATTTTGAGCCCTTTATGCGCACTTTATGCCCTTTTTCCGTAAGCCCGCATTTCTCCATACTTTGTCTGAGGAGAATTACCCAAAGTTCATAGCGTTGTGACAGCAAACGCGGGGTTGCCGTGGTTACCAGGGGTCGCCCGGAAGCGTAAAAACGGTAAACAACGGCCATGAAACGCAAGAAATATTAAGAAAGAAGAAGAAGAAGAACGGTTAACAAACAAACAAACAAACAAACAAACAAACATGAAAGGAATAAACCTTAATGTGAGGTCAGGTTAGCCAGTGAGCAGAACTCTTTCCCAATAAACAAAACGGCAGCAGGCATGAAGAGGAAGTTGTTTTTATTTAGTATTTTAACACAGTTGGGACAAACAGTAGTGGATATGGCCGCCATCTTTGGAAGCTCCCTGTTGTAAGTATATTGCTAAAGTTTTTCAGCATTTTTTTTTTTAAGGGAATGAATGGCCTGAACTTAATACTTTGGGTTGTTGAATATTTTCATTCTTGATTTCTGACCTAAAAATCTTAGCAACTCAAGGTCTACTTACCAGCTTCCATTCAGCTAGTAAGAGTTTTTGGTCATAAAATAATGAATTGAAAATGTTCACCTGTAGTTTTGTCACACTACTATTTCAACGTCAGGCATGTTCTTCAGTCTTTTTCATTCGTTTTCATTCCATTTGCACTGAATAACTGAAACACAAGCTTTGCCCAACTGATAAACAGTTAAAAATATTTAGTAAGCATTTGTGGTGTTGTGTCCAACCCTTGTGTCTTCCTTGTTAAAGGTTTTAATCTGCAGTCCTCCACACTCCTTACACTTTACATTACACACACTGTAGTCCCAAAGACTTTAGCAGATAATTGTGTTGATGATTGACTGTTGTACTTTATCTTTAATGGGACACAGTAATTGATGATTACATCTCTGAAAATTAGTGTAGCGTAGCAAGAGAGACAAATGTTCTGTCTGGTTCAGTTTCTTGTCTCCTGGATGACTGACCTCTCCATCCTGAATCCAGCTACATGCCTGGACAACACTAACTGATGTAAAACGCCTGAGGAGAGAAAAGCATGGTTTCACACTCCATTTGATGCTTGTCCTCTTGGATCATTTAAACGACCAACACAAAGTCGTCTCCACAGTGATGTGTCAAAGGCTTCGCTTGATGTTTAACTCAGTATCACATATTCTGCGTCTAGACAGAGAAACTCGCTGTGGTGAATCATCTGCTGAGAAGATGGATGGCTGCTGAACCACAATCACCAGGCACCAGGCGTTCAGGAACGACGGATCAACTGTGTTTCAGGTAAGTCAGCTGGTCCCCCAGAGGAAAGACACTCGTGTGTTTCTACATATAAAATCTGAAGAAATCATTTTATTTCTTGTCAGTTCATAGACTCATAGACTTGTATATCAATACAGACTAACCTTGCTGAGCAACAAGCAGTTTATCTAACCCTAACCCCAACCACTCACTCCCATGTGAACTAAAACTCTGGAGCCACGTTTTAACCATGCACATACTGCAACTAACAATTATTTTAATTATTGATTAATCATTCATTGTCTATAAAATGTCCCACTGCTGAAAGATATGAATTCAAGTTGCTTTTTTATTCAACTGCAAAACTCTGAAGATCTTCACTTTATTCATTTATGACCACAAAAGCAACAAATCTTCACACCTCAGGACACCTGAGTAAAACAAAAAAATGATTGTCAAAATTATTGCCAATTACTATATTACTGTTTATCAACCCATTGATTAATCCGCTAATTGCTGCAGCTATAGTAGAAAATGTAGCAGGAGCATCTTGTGACAGGTCCAAGTTGATCATTAACATGCAGGTTAATTTTTCCATCGTTGCATCTCAGTTTGAGACGATGCTGGAATCTCATATGTGAATCAAAAAGGTTTAGTTGTCATTTGTCAGACTCTACAACAAAAATATTATATTGAAGAAAGAGGTTAGACTAAAATCTATAATAATTCTTCTTTTGTAGTTTCAAACTGTGATGATTTCTAATCAAATTGTTGTCAAATTCACCTTTTACCATTTTTGCTGTAGAGGACACTGTTAACTGAAGGTGTGACGATGAGCAGGGTTAAGGTTCTTGTAGGTTGTATCCAAAAATAAAGCATGGAAGTGTCTTCTCATGATTGAGCAGTAGCTTACACTGAAGACACTGAGGTTATGTCCTTGGTGTTGTACAAGCTAACCGCAGTATTGCAAACTGATTACCTTCGAACAAACAACAACAAAAAATGACTATTTCCTGAACAGAATCTACTATAAATGTGTAAAATCCTGGTTACGTCTGTGCATCCTCGTTAAATAAAGGTGTTTGTGAATGGTTCATGTGCTGAGGCTGAGTGAACATTATCCGATCAGTTGCAGCCTCGTCGCTGTATCACAGTAAAATCTAAGGTTTTCCCTGACCTGCTGCTCTGGCGCCACTCAGCTTTTAAGCACAATGACCCAGATATAATGAAGCCAGGAAGCTCAATGACTTTTCCCCAGCCACCTACTGCTTCTCACACACACCCTGTCTCCACACACACTCAAACCTCACACACCTGTTTTCAGCAGATCACCAGTGGCGTGCTTCGCTCTCACACACACACACACTCAGCGATGATGATGATGAAATACTGCCACAACCACCAGCACCACCACTGCTGCTGCTGGACCAGGTCCCTGTGAG